ACTGCCCTTTCAAAACCATACGAATATAGGTAGTCGTTAAGAAGATATTCAAAGAAATACATTTGAAAAAGCTTGACATGTCGACAAAATCAAAACTTTTGACGTTAAACTTCTCCAAACTAGGAACTGATCAGAGAGAACTTTGTAATTCTGAGGTTGCAAAGTACAAACAGGAACCACAGCGTCTGTTTTGAAGCTCTATAACCACCATGCACGTGCGCTACTGACACCGATGGATACATCCCAGCTCATAGATATACAGTGATGCTCGAACCACTACATTTAGGCAAAAGATAAGTCATAAGAAAGGTTTTGCAACACCCATTTCAGTAGAGAAGAGTTGTTTAGAAAAAAGGATATCGCTTTTAGATTTGATCCCGATTTCGAACAACGCGAAGCGGGAGAAAAACTTAATCAATGCAAAAAAATGAATATTTTTCTTAAAAGATTAATAGATATAGGAAATAGAGGTAGGAAAGTAACCCCTCCCCTTAAAGTAAAACCTACGTTCCGGATTTGAGTAACGACCGAGCGAACTGAGGCTCGATATAACACTGACTAAGCGATTAACTCAACACTTGTAAATGGAAAATAAAAATCCCCGAAAATTCAAAAAGATTGTTATTAAATTTCGGTTTAAAACAATCGCTAAAGAATAAAACTGTGTTCAAGCATGAAAGTTTCTTATATAGGCCTATGTTCCCGGATAATATATAGTAGGCAAAAGGGGTTTTAATTAAAATAGCCTGAACTATTGGCTGAATTCAACGACAAAAACATCAATAATAGTACTACTAATAATAAGAGTTATAATGATAATAATGATACTATTTTAACTTCCGTGAAATTATGATACAATAATAATAATAATAATAATAATAATAATAATAATAATAATAATAATAATAATAATAATAATAATAATAATAATAATAACAATAATAATAATAATAATAATAATAATAATAATAATAATAATAATAATAATAATAATAATAATAATAATAATAATAATAATAATAATACAAAAACAAAAAAATAAATAGTAAAAATTATATTTTGATGCCATGATAAGTAATTTTCTTGAACGCGATCAAAAGGAGGAGAAAAATTGAAGAGGGGTTTTCTACATGAAAAAGAAGTATTCATTTTTTTTAAAGTATTGAATTACACCTTTGTATAAGAGATAAGACGAGGAGTCCCTGTGTTACACCATTTTAAGAGCAGAAAAGACATAAATCCAAGGTAATTATATTATTGTTCTGTACATTCTCGTTTTCACGGGTATTTTTAGATGCGGCACGTATGACAATGGCAACAACACACACACACAAACAGTGAAAGGGTAACGTCGCTTTTGTTCCTCCAGATATTTTTTTCCTTTTTTTTCTCTTATATTTACGATCAAGAGGCAGAGGGAGATAAGAGGAGAGGAGAGGGTCATAGAGGCGGCAGGGGGACTGCTGACGGGAAATAAACCCGTTTTCAGACACACACTCATGAATAGATACTGTCACAACACATGCCTTCCATAGAAATCTTTTCAAACTTTGAACAAACAAGCCACCGGGCTCACATCTGAGCAAATAACAAAGCCCGGAGTACCCAGTTGTTTAACACTGTCATTCTGTGTGCCGTGCCAGTGCATCGGCACCAAGTTTAGCAGAACATGGTTTAATACGTGGTGCCCTTTGGGGGATCGTATCGGATTGATTTGCAAGCCAGAGTGAGGGCGTAGAGCGGCTATCGTGGCAAACCGATCACGCTCGACGCATCGCCTCAAAAACAAACGTGTTTATTTTCAGACAACGAGTCGTTTGATCGGCCCGACCCGACCCGACCCGACCCGACCTGACTCGATGCCATCTGCAATGGGCACCCGGTACAACGGGAAACTATCAAAGCGGTAGCACTTTCGAAAAAAAAAGTATCAAAACAGATCACGCTATCAGAGCCGTGCACTTTTTAACCACACCAAAACAATGTGATGGACTATTACCAGTGCCAATATCATCTAGCTATGTAATGTAATTCCCCTCTGCGTTTTACTTGACTTCGGACCAGCAAAATATTATATTTTACGTAGTCGTTCTATTACAGCTCACAATAATTGATCCCAGAAATAATTATGGCTCAATGAACGGGGGAAAATGCTTAAGTCATATCACTATAACACATACAAATGTCGATTTTTGTAAACTAGTTTTATTGTAATATGATACGAATATACCCCGAGCAATTTGTTAATTGACTTGCTTAGAAAATAGTTTTTTTTTGTGACACTTAATTTTATGGAAATAATACGGAGTAAAGGAGAATGTAACCGTTGGATGGTATTAGCAATCATATTGTATTAGTACTTTTAATTTAAAATGCGCGGTCCTGATGGTGCAAAACTTTGATACTTTTTTTTTCGAAAGTGCGCGGCAGTGGTGCTTTCCCGCTCCAACCACCACCTGTCCAGGACAATCAGCTGTACAAACGAACGCATCTCACTCTCCCCATGGGGTTTTGTTTTTGTTTTTGTTTTGTTTTGTTTTGTCTTCTATATCAAAATGACAATGTCTAAGAGGACAACCTGTCTAGGATGACCACTTTTCTCCTCGATGAGGCGTGGTTGTCTTTGCATTTAGCGAGCCAGTCTGAGTGCTAGAAGATAGACTAGCTAATTTCCTCGACACCGTCTTAGTAACTTACGTTGGGTTCGCATAAAGGCATTGACTTTGATCGAAAGAAACTTTTCCCTCGAGGTGAATGTTCCTACGTTTATGGAGTCATATGTCGGTCTTCCCCTCGCTAGGAAAAGAGACGAAATCTCAATTTCTAAGAAGATATTTTACAGAGTGCGCCCGTCTTTCTGCTCGGACATAGTCTCACACAAAGCACAAGTTTACCCTGACACACAGGAGCTGAAGTGGCAGACAGTACCAGAATTCCAGAAAAACTACCCTCGAGGTTGGCCCTAGATGGGTACATCGCTCTCTTGGAATGGCAGGTGTCTGACTCCACTTTACACGAGAAATGAACTACACGTAACTGACACAGATGCCAAGCTCAGAGTGTCAAATTTCGAAACAATCTTATTTGTTTTGGGTTTTTTAATTTGTCGATTAACAGTTTTAGGACTGGGAATCTTTGAATCCCATTTTCTCAAAACTAATCTTCACGGAGTAAGAACCCCGTCATTCTAAAGGAGCAACTAGTCATGTCTCTTCACTGTTAAGTTAATGTTT